TCTGCGAGACTGTTTTTCTGGTATAAAATTTTACACATATGCATTTATATTATATGTATAATACTTTGTTTTACGTACACATTTGTGTCGATTAATTTTTAAGATGAGATGTCTTTTTCATAGTAATGCGCATTGAGCATCTTTTAGGAAATGGAAATGCGCAGTATAAATGCTATTTATTATTATTATTATTATTATTAAAACAACGTAGGGTAATTAAACAGATTCGAGTCTACAATATAAATAGTCGTATTCGTAAGTTAATGTAGCCGTATTCGTACACACATTTCTCTCTATTTCGCCGATCCCAGACTCTGTCGTCACACCCCCAGGTCCGAACCCGTGCTAGGCTTATGTACAAGCGGAAACTAAACCGGAAGTCACACTTTTGTTTGACCTAATTAGTTTTCATTGTGCTCACTTATGTTTCAATTTAAAAGAAAAACAGCTACATTTATTCAAATTGAGAGTAAATTTTTTTTTCAGCAGAGAGAGAAAGTGAAATTATTCAAACAGTATACGCGTGTGGTAGCTCCTCATTCTGAACATATCGCCTGAAGTCGTTACAAAGACCTGACTTCACCTTTTAGGTTATCTTGGGTCAGATAACCGTCATTATAATATGGTATATATACATGTAGTAGGTCTACGTACTGCTTTTAGTTCTCTAAACTTTTGCTCCATCCACGAAAATAGATATCACGATAAAATTGTGAGCAAGATGACACGATAAGACCACGTCCTTGAATCCAATGATCCTCATACTTCCTTACTTTTTTGTGGGCCGGATAATAATATAATAATTTAACTAACAAAGAATCCAACACCCCCCCCCCCCTTCCTCCGGAGCGATGCTACTGACTGACTGATGTGTCTTTAGGCCATTCCCAAAGGTGGGACATTTAACCTGTTCTTATACACAGCAAAATTGTAAAAGGGCTGATTCAGGAAACCATGACCTAGCACCGACAACTCAAGACTGACCGGGGAGCTGAGCGGGACTCACAAGAGCTAACCAGCCACCCAACTCGTCGGCCATTCAAGTCGACAACTACACACAAGACAAGACACAATGTAAGGAGTGTGTCCCTCCTACATTGATGACCCCGACGAGCCGTTCGAACCAGTGACTCGGTGAAACTTGGTGAAACTCTTTGGATGATACCTGTGCAGCTGCAACAACAATGGCGAGCTTCCAAATGTGCTGCTGCGATTAAACTTCGGACGTTTGGGCATCAGGCCCTGAGGCCTGGTTCGCTTACAGTTCGCTATCGGAGCAATCAACCAAGATGACACGAAGTATTTCCATCTTGGATAACGACACTGCCACAGGGGTGTTGTCAATCATATCGAACAC